AAGCTTAACCTTAAAATTTTCCACCCACTAACTTGAACTCTTTACATATTTAAAACGTGATAAAAAGGAATAACAAGTGCATCACGATCAATAATAATTATAATAGCACTTACAAAATTTTACAACCATCTAAGGGAAATCGCATTCATTAGTAGATGCGTAACTTCCGTAGTTCCATATGCTACAACTCATAATTCAATAGTAAAGTACTAGAACAACTATAGATTTAAAACTAACCATATTCAATTTTCCCAAAACTATTATTTTTTTTTTTTTTTTTATTATGATTTTTTTATTGTTTCAATGGTGCTAAATATAATATTTTCGTGTTTGTAGCAGTAGAGAGCCGTAAACAGACACAATAAAGGCAATGGCGACAGAAACAGGTTGCCATCTCGTCAACATACGTCATAATTAAGACTCGGAAATTGATGACCTTAAAACATTAATAAAATGACCTAAAAAATGCAAATATGACTTAAAAATCTCAAAAAATTATAAATATTTGTTTAAAATTAGTAAAAATACATTTTTTTTTTTTAAATTACTAAACTAAAATTACTCAAAATTATTACATTATACCATTAAAGCATATTTTATGTTGTCAAAAGTAAAAATGACAGCTAGCAATTATTATACTTTATTCTATCGAATCTTTATCTTTACTTAACCTGTATACAGCTTAATATGTAAAATATTATTTTATAAGATATAAATTTAATGTAGATACACAATACACATATACAATCAGTGTAAAACAAAAACTATGCGTGTAAAGATGTTAATTGACAAAATCTAATTATAAACACAAGAAATTGAACTAACAAGGAAAATAAGACCTAAAACTGACAAAAAATTATCTAAAAAATAAAAAATGCAAAATAAAAATTAGGTATTTAGATTCGCATGTTTATGAAACACATTTGTGGCCAGGAGAACATCATCTAATAAGTTTCAAAAAAAAAAAAAAAAAAAAATGCATCAACTTCCGAGCCCTAGTCATAATATACTATGGAGTATTAAACCCATATTATAATATATTATACAACGTTCTTACTTCTTAATGTTCTTATAACATTCTTTCACGATAGAATTATTATACGCGTATGACCGTTTACGTGAAACTATATTATAAGTATATACCTACTATATAATATAGTATATATTATACATAGTAACCACATTATACGTATATTATATTAGAGATTAGACGCACTTTATATATAAATAACTAACTAACTAAATAAATACGAAACTTAGACTTGTCGCGCGCGCGTACAACGGTAGTCTTTTGTGTCCGCCCACGTGAACTACGAACATATGTGTTTGACAGATACATATTAATGCGGTGTATAATAATATATTAAATTTTCCGAATATCACACATGACGAGGAGAAATATTGCAGCGCTGTTGATTAAAGTCTTAATAACAAATCTATATAGGTATGTAATAATCCAAAAAATCCATCAATTGATGCCTCTTCTCGGGAAAACCAAAATATACACGTCGTTTTGTTACACGCCACTTTTGTTCATTTTACACGAGTGTTTACTAATTGTGTAATATTGAAAATTAGAAAAAAAAACGTTATGTTATGATATAAATATATTCTATATATTATTATGGAGAATAGTAATTATGGTGACCGCACGTGAAAGTTACCACCAACACACGTCAAACAAACACGCATACTGTTAACACCGTAAACAGATTTACAGGCTGATTCTTTTATTGTATCATTTGAGTTTGCATTAACTTCTAGATTGTGGTAGGTTAAGTTACCAACTAGGTATTTGGCAGTCAATGGCCCTGATCAATATTTCCACTCCTCGGAGTCAGACCTTGGTTATTTTTAAATAGGTATTAATTGTATTTATATTAATACAATTGTTGACCTATCGTGTTGAAGAAAAAGATTTCAATTTTGACAACCACATGCCAAAATAAAACGACGTGAAACATTATTGTTGTAAATTTAGGTCACTAATACTACCTATGCAGAAATGCAGAATGAATTTATAGCTGTTTTTTCTATGTATAAATTATTTCATTTATTTTGTTTCATAATATTTTTCATTTTACTCACCAGCCCATCAATTGCGCTATGTTTTTCTTGCACGACTGTCCGAAAATATAAAATATTTTATTCAACACTTTTTTTTTTCATTTTTTGCACTAGTCGTAAAATACAATATATTATTATATGTGTATTATTTATTTCATCCTACGCGTCTTTCGTACATCGTAAACGCACCTGCAAGTTTGAAAGTTTTCTCCAGGGTGTCTTCTATAATTTTTCAATTTCGTTACTTTCTAATGGGAAAGAAAAATATACTAAATTAGTTTTAGCAACAAAAATAAATACGACCTTATTGTTTTGAAATGTAACCATGTTGATTCGCAAACATTAATTTACTTTTAAGAACAATAAGAGAGTTAATTATATTTTCTGTACCCCTTAACAATCTCTTTCTTCTTTACCGTGTGCCGCAGAAGTTTACCAATTTAAAATAGAGATAATACAATGAGGTTTTGTAGTCTACTTATACTTATATGTATTATTATTTCATTTTTCAACATGGTAATTGTCATTTTTATGCAAACATAAAAGTACACTTAAAAATCATAAAAAAGTATTTCATTGTTCGTGCAATGTTCATAGCGTATACAAATATATATATATATATATATATGTATTGTTTGTAGATATATATGAAAAAAAAATCATGAAAAACGTAACACTTTTGTGGATATGAAAAAAAAAATGTTAAGCTTTTCTTTTTTTAAACAGCAATAACAAATTGCATTCAACTCTACAATATTTACAATTTAATTTTTAGTCTTAACATTAATAATTGATAAGTATCAAAGTATAACAATAATTTAAAAGAAAAACATTTTATTTTATTTTTAAAAACAATACATTATTAATCCTATACAATCATCAGGTATTATATCATAATGATTAAAATATACAATGCTCCATCTTTTCGAATATTTGTAATTGTATAATTGTAGGTATTAATAAATATTAAACAGTGCCGTTTGCTCATTATTTAACGTTAATATAAAATGGGCTCACACTAAATAATAATATATTATTTGTATTCACCGCCGCGTTACGACTAAATCAATACTTGCTTAATTTTATTTTCTAAATATTTGTATTTGTTGTCGTTGGTAAATGTATAGAAAAGAAAAGTAAACTAAAAACGATTAAATGCCACTCGTCGAAAAAGTTACAGTAGCATACGCGTATTCTTCGACGAAAACAATGACCCACAAATTTTCGCACTCTATTTATTATACACATTTTTTATTATAGTGATAATTAATATATTTGTCCGACAGTAATTAATAAACGTTTCATATTTTTCAACGGGTTTTTGTCACATTCGGTATTGTTTTAATATAACATTACATAAAATCGATTTGTAAAATTTGTTTGCTCAAAGACTACTAGTATTATTATTATGAGGTCTTCACTCCGAGTCCGACAAGTCTTTTCGTGTGCAACAATTATCTCAAAAATTAAATTCAACGCCTCGAGGGGAAGTAAAAAAAAACCATACCTCCGGTGCGCTTCCGGTTATTTATGGTTTTCGAAATCGTAAAACAACAGCTGCTGTGCGTGTAATTAAGAGAAATTCACAACGACTATTATCATACTAGCACTATTTCTAAACTGGTCGCTATTACGGAAACTACTACTCACATACATATGTATAATATAGGTACACAACTGCAACGGATCTTTCGAATTGCGGTTTTCAAAACTTGCGACGCGCACACATGAACTTTAGACGCGTATAAAAAATACACGTGTGCGTAATTCGTATATATATATATACATTTATTCTATTACCGCTGTACGCAAACCGTGTAGTGTGTGTGTTTGATAGGATGAAGACGTTCGGACGGTACTCTGCTCGGACCACACACACACACATGCACAATAATGTATACATATATAGTAAACCATCGTAATCCCATTGCATTTACGGTCATTGAAACATATTCATATACGTTTATATATATACATATATACACATTTATACTTGTATAATTCTCTCTCTCACACACATATATATATAATATGCTGTCTGTAATAGGACCACTGCTAATGACTGTCACTACAACTACTATAACTGCTGCTGATTCTATGTACACGGCAATATATTATATAAAATAGTCTAAACACACATTTAGGTATACATTATACATAGTATAAGCTATTTATATTATATTTTAAATAGATCAGTCGTGTCTGATCTCTATTCACACACCACCGCGAGTTATTGAAACAACAATGCTGCACTGCTTTTATCAGATGATAATATCTGGGTCATTCTTAAATATACGGCCTATACGCGGATAGGCTTCCGGTGATAATTATTATTATTATGATTATTACGTATTATTATTATTAAACGTCGTACGTTGGTCGTCACCCGTAAGCAGATTTCTCCGAGGTCGTTTCCGCTTGCGACGACCGCCGGACATTATCGCTCCGATGCGCGCGTCATTATTACTACGCGTACGTACGTATGTGTAATGTAAATGTACTCAATATTACGAGTATACGCATATTATAATATAGTAATTCCGATTGACAGAAATTCTCACCCGCACATTATATAACACGACAGAACGTGCATATACTCGTAATTACAATAATGTTATTATGTATCTACCGCATACGTCCTATAATATAAGAGTTAAAAAAATAAACAAATTCGTGCAATGCACAAGGGTAGATAACGACGAACAATGCGCGTGTATAATATAGGGCAGCAGCGATGAACATTATTGTAACATTGTTAAATAGCATATCATAGTATAGTGTTGGTAAGTATGATATGGGGACGAAGACAATTGTATCTAATCTGGTGTACGCGTGTTTTTTCTTATCAAATTTAATTCTGTCTTAGTTTTTTTTTTTTTTTTTTCATTTTACCCATCTAGCCTTCAATCGACTCATCAGTCTGTGAACGGACATTCGAATCGACGGGCAACCGGCTGTAATACTGCACATATTCTATACACATACCTACATAATATAAAGAATACGTGTCGAAGAGATCATAACACATACCTGCAGCATCGTGATGATTCGGACGAACTACCTGGTCGTTTATATTTTATCCATTGCAGCCTTGTCACTACTGCCGCCGGTAAGACACGCACTCTCAACTCTGAAAAACGATTTATTCTACCCTTATATTTTATTATTATATTATAATATATATATATATATATATTATCATCATTATATTGTTACTTATTCCCATTCAGCTGCGAGAACTATAATGTATAATAATAATATGTTACATGCCTTTGAATGAATATACAACCTTCGAAGAAATTCCACAAAAGACTATTTTATCGACAGGTATAAACGTCGCATTATTATTTTTATTATTATTATATTACATAGGTGCGCGTACATTTTATCGTCCCCCACAGAATCTCCAATACACTTAAATATTTTCATAATATACTGAAAAACGTATAATATATCATTATAATATTATAAGTTATAACAGACACCATCGTATAATAAATGTTTATACATACCTACCTGGGTATAAACGAATAAGCATCCAACCTAACCGACATTTTCGTTTTCAAGCATTCGAACATTCATATAGACTACAATACAAACTCGTTATTTATTATTTTCTTTTATACATTTTTTCGCAGTTAGACGCAACTACCACGAATTTACTGTACAATATTATAATAACAATGTAATAAAAATATTATCAATCATATGGGTTTCTAAAATGAACCAAGTAACTAAAGAATCATGATTTTTTTTTTTTTACATTATAATTTAGTATGTTATGTATACTAGAGTTTTAATATTTTGTTTTCCCTGCTTTTACTAAATATATTAGTATATGATATCATACATAATAATATATAATATACATAATATACACTCTACTAGAAGTAGTTCTTGACACGTCTCAAGTAGAAGGTGAAAAATATATTTTGCATATACAACATACATATAAATCTATGAAATAGGTACCCTACCCATCCATTATTATTTGACCCAACCATAACTTCTGTAAGACCACAAGTGTGTTCTACGATACAGATATACGGTGATATATTTATTATAGTTATTATAATACATAAGTGGTATAATATAGTCAAATATACCATTTTAAACTTTTAAAATGAAATTTAATTTTGATATGCATCATATGACCTCTGCAAAAAAAAAAGAAATAATTCTCCAGTGTAAAATTTTAATTTATATATTATATTCAGAAAAACTGAAAAAAAAATATGTTTTTAAATATGTTTTTTTTTTTTTTTGATGAAAAATACGTTTAAAGTTTTATACAATATTTGTATCCTTATAACACACGGCTCTTAATGATTTAGTTTAAAAAATACAAAAGTTTTCATAAAACTTATACCTTTTTAAAAAAAAAAAAAAAAAGAGGGGATAATTATTAATAGATTTAAACATCGTAAGTCATAATATATGATATTACAAAAAAGAATCTTCAATAAAAAATTTACTCGCTGCTGTCTAATACTTTAATATACTTAATATAAATAGTCATTATACATATATATTTAAACATTTAAAACAGATTAACCATTGTTATAAGTAAGTAGTTCAGAAAAAAATACATAAATATTATACCTTTTGTGCTGCTTTAATCGATCTCTTGCACTATTCCACCAAAGTCAAAAAGCGAACTGTGCTAAAATTCAGTCAAAACGGTCGTCGCATTCGCTTACACGACGTGTTCTCGATTTAAATCGTGAGCCGAATAAAACGTGAAATTCGAAACGTCTAATCGTATTTGGTTCAAAAACAATCTAATGGGTTTCAGTTGTTTTATGGATAATATTATTATAATTTATTATAGTGCGACCAAACTCCGAGAATATATGCGTTAACGGCGTTTGCACGTATTTTGATATAAGCATTTTAACAAGCGATTTCGTAAAATACAACTTTTTTTTACCGCGTCAACACACTATCAGCGCGTCAGTGATCCGAATTTTATCGAACCGAAGATGATGGTACATATAATATATTATACGATATAATGTACTTGATAATATTTCAAAACATTTTGGCAATGACGACCCATCGTATATATAGGTATTTAAACTTTACCAGCTGCCAGCTAAATGTTGCGTAGAATATAAATAAGTAATAACAATATCTATACTATAACACAGTGTCAGAAAATACATTAATGTATATTTTCCCTTTTAAACGTTTGCAATGTTTTACAAAAGTATATACAATACGTGCTTAATCCCAGGTGGAAAATGTGTTTTTCTTCCGGTAATAACTCCCTCGTACACGCCGTTCCCGCGTGACGACATATAATAAAATAATATATATATACATCTACAGAAAACAGTGTACGCCGAAACGAAAGAATAGAATATAGTTAGGTATTAACAGCTGACAAGGCTGATTTGTAAAAATAAACTTTGGAAATATACGTGTCACATTGTGTGGTATATAACATTATGTATTAGTGTATTATAATATTATTAATGGGTGTTCTCTGGTTTACAGGCGCAAGAAGCGTAAACAGTGTTATGTAATAAAATAATAACATAATGATAATATATATGTATATATATTATGTGATATCATTTTATATCATTATGCGAGTGTTAGATTTTTACAATATGATAATGTAAGCAAACACTGATATTTTGCCCATTAGATCGATGTATATACATATATTATTAATGCGTGCGCAGCCTTATTAAATCGAGTGCTCGTTAATCAATTACGATGATTATTATTTTACGAATAACCACGACACGAGGATATAATTTAATTAAATATTTATGTTATATGAAAAATGTGCAATTAAGTCGATTGAAAAAACTATAGATAATTTCCGTTAAAAGCGGTTCTAATATAATAAATATCTTCGAGGCTCCAGGTACCCTACATATCAATAATAATCATAAAAATTGTAAGTACCTCCACACACGAAACAGTAATAGGCGTTCGCTCGACGTCAAAGTTTTTGTTCGATAATATTTTATATAAATTCGCATGTATTACTGAAACACTGGTGCTTAGAAACCCGAGACGAATACAATTTCCTAAGTGCTTCGAAAACACAATATTCTATTACAGTTGATGGGGTCATACGTGTTGAGTTACAGTATCCCAAACGCATTTATCAAAACATCTAAGACTGAAACGTGCGTGTGTTTGAAAACAAAGACATATACCGCCATTGACATATAACGTATTTATATGTATATTATTATACAAACGGTGGTTGTTACAGTGAAAAATTCGTTTTATAGAACGGTAAAAAGATGATATATCAACGACACATTTTCGATCTCTTCTTATCTTGCTAATGATTTATAATAGTACCGTGTATTCGTGTGCGACGGTGTGATCGCTAAGTGTTTTACCTAGGGTCGTATAACTACCGGATGATACGACGACTAAAATCAAAACCTGTGTTTCAGTATGACTCAAATGTATAAACCTTGTCTTTCGAAGTTCATTAAATATATTTTCATCGAAATGTAAAAAAAATAATTTGAATATTAATAATAATATTAATGAGACAAAATAATAATAAAAATTGTAATTTATTACATCGTTTTAGGTTTATATTATATTTATTTAAAAATTTAATAGTTCCTAAACAATTATTTCTGTAACATTATTATTAAATATTTTGAATGTACCTATATAATATGCAAAATAGTGTACTATAAAAAAAAAACTCAAAGTGGAAAGCGTGAACACCTTAAATCTCCTGCCAACAGTATATGCCACTTCCTACCAAGTACCCCACGTCTTGGTCAAGACAAACACAAAAAAGTGCTTACACAATATTTTTTCGTTTTATTGCAGCTAAAATTTGATGCAATTACTTCTACACAATACTCGCATTAACGTGTAATTTGACATAAGTCAATTTTGTCAGTGCATTATTGCAATTAATCGAAACCACGAATATTATAATATAAGCGTATATAATAAAGAAATAACCACTTCAGTCATTTCAATGTTACACTAAATGAGCGATAAGTGCATATTATAATAATATATTATTATATTTTCACCCCGGCGGCAGTGTACTTTCATTAACTATAGCTAATCAAATAGTTAACTACTTAAATACTATTTTTTTCTCGTCTTTCTCTTTATAATATATGTCAATTTTTACAGTAAAAACTAATTTAATACGTATATACAATAGAACAATAAAAACAAATTCGACAAAGAAAAATAAATTAGTTGTCAGGTATTTACTTAATTGCAAGCATTGAGTTTATCACAAATATATAGACAATGGTATTGGAATAGATATGCAGTGAATTAATTATTATTAAAACCATGTAAACACCGTGAGTTGACTTGGCTTGTATAGATGTACGAAAAATAATTAAAACTATATAATATAATAAAATTACAATTTTGTGTTAAAGAGTATGAACTATATTAATATTTAGTATAAAAAGGATCAATCAGGAACAAACCGACGAAGGTCATGAATGCGGCTCCTACTCGACAGCAATATTTAACTACCAATCGGCAAATTTGTTCAAAAATAAAAATTTGACTTTTCTAATTAATCTAGTTGGAAATTTCAAAGAAATTCATTTTTTTTTTTATCGCCCTTAGAATCAATTCATGTGACTTCTGATAATAAACGTGGCGTTCCATTTTCGACCCGACGTGAGCCGTCACTAACAACAGTAGGTAAAAACAATATTTTCAATTCATGTCTGTTTTTGATCCAGTCGTACAGCGTACTAACATCACCTATGCGATTGTACGGTAGATAAATACATATACTCCGGTAACCGTTGATAAACATAATGTATGCCACCATACCAGGCCGGCGTGGATATGACACGTGGAGTTTTTAATTTCTAGTACAAACAATTTCGAACGATACGCCCATATCGATGTTGTGGCCGTTGGTATGACAGATATTCAATAAAAATGCGTGACGGCATACAATACGCGACTCGGCGATGAATGACAATTTCTATGCGATGACGCCTAGTGGCCGAATTTCAATGAAAAACTGAGGGTGCTAAAGACCCTTTTTTCAGTTAGTCAACAAATAGCATAAATTATAAGGGTACTAATTTCAAAACTGGGAGTGTTAATTACCTTCCACATTTCCAAATC